CTCCGCCGAAGGTGGTGGTTGAAAGAACTGCTAGTTTAAGCATTTCTTTTAAAACCAACCCCCCCAATTAATTGTGGGGCTGCTTTTTAAATAAAAAATTTGGTTTTTTTGTTGTTACCACATTTAAAAAAACAGTGCATCGCTCCTCTCCAACAATAAATTCCCCCCCCGGGGCCGCTGTGCCCCCCTGGTGTTTTGGAAAAAATGGGGTTTTTCCTGTTTTTTTCTTTTTTAAGGGGCGGATAAAGAAAATAACAAAAGCTGTGTCAACCTGAAGGCGGGTGCGGCGTTTTTTAATATTAAAGGTCACAAACTTTTTTTGGTGGAAACTTTGTGCTCTTTTATGATAAACAAATATTTTTTTTTTGGTGAATACAATATTATTATATATTAGAGTAGCGAAGAAAATAATGTATTGTTTCTGTTTTTTTTATACTATACTTTATTTTTCTTTCCATGACATTTGCTATAACAAACAACCTTATATGTGAAGGGACTAAAATTTTTAAAACCCAAACCCCCAAAACCAACATGGAGAGGAAGGGTGTGTGTGTGTGTGAGATATCCTTTTTAAAAAAAGATTTTCCCTCCCGCATACAAAAAAAATATAACAACTCGCCATTATTTTCAACAACCGAAGAGTCTTGCTTTTGATTTACCACTCTCTCACACTCTTTGGTTATTTTTTTTAGTGTCTTATTCGGAAATTGTTCATTTTTATTAAAAATTTTGGTTTTAATATCGCCGCCTTCGGGAGATTGTAGACGCCACACAAAAACAAGAAACTAAAATGATTGTCTTTCATTAGTCGTTAATTTTAAAGGCCCCCAAAACCCTTTTAAAACGCATGCTTAACCCAGTCATCATCACCTGCTTTTGTCATCTTGAGACATTGATAGCGAATATTAAACAAGGATGACTGTTCAGCAAAGATTTGCGACAAAATTTTAATCGTTGCATCAAAAGAAAAATCTCTTGGATTCTTTGGAAGGATGAAATTACTATAGCGTTCATGTTCCATAGTCCCCAGTTTTCTAAGAAGTATTCTCACTTTTGAAGCATCATCAAGTTTGCAAAGATCAATATAAAACAAATCTTCATACGTCTTAAACCACGACTCAAATGTTACACCTGTTACACCATCAAAATTAAATTCATGAATGGCATTAATGACTGAATCAATATGTGATACTTGAGGTTCACTAGAAGCAGGATTTTGTTGGGACAGGCAGAATTTCTGCATCAGGGTTTCCATGATTCTCATTTGGGACTCTTCAAACCTTTTCTCTTGACGCACCATATAGGCTTCTAATTGCTTCAAGGAAATATTCATTGTGGTTTTCATCTCCGTCGCCACTGATAAGTCGTGTAGGTTGAACGCTATATATGACTCCTAACTATTCCCGAAACCCGCAGACTAGAACTACACAGCGACTTGAACACCAGAGAGAAGACACAAGTATGAGTGGAAACACTTTATCCCAAGGTTCATTCTTGTACAGAAAATCATGGGTATTTATAGATTTTGGCATCTGTTAAATCAACATCATTTTACAGCCAATCCGATAACAACACATTACGCTACCGACCAATAGTAGCACGCCACGTTGGAATTCTAGAACGTTCCATCACACTCTGATTGGCTAGGATTCTTCGGCTCCATTGTGGGCCTCTGGAGTCTCCGTTGAAGTTCTCCGGAAGCCGACCCAACAAGTAGAAAGTTATTCAACTTTCAAGTAAACTGTTGGGCTGTAGTACAGTTTCATTTAGTATTTATCTCACTCTAAACTTAAGAAGCTTAGTATTATTCCATACTTTGTATGATTTGATCTAATTCGTTTCTTTTTATCACCAGTTCTAAGTGGAACTCATAATGTTTATTTTTAAAAATCGCTATGAAGATCACATTGGTTTAATGTCATTAATGAAAATTGTTAATATAAGTAAAAACTATGTTCACTGGTTATCCAGGATTTTAAAAAAAAATCTACCTGGGATCATAATGTGTCAATGATTTTATCTACTTTCCTTGTAATTTGTAAATAATTTCTGCACTTACCTTTGAAATTCTAACTTTTTACATCAATCTTATGATTTTAAAATAAGAAGAGATGTATTTTTATGAAACCAACTAGAGGTATAGGACTACACTTACTTTGAAACATAATGATTGCATACCAAAGTTAGTTGCTTATAAATTAGACTACTTTCATTTATAAATGATTCACTTTCAGACCTTCTTTAGGAGCATAATTTGTATAGTAAATACCAGTGGATAGTAGAAAGTTATTCAACTTTCAAGTAAACTATTGGGCATACAAATCTAAGAAAGAATAACTATCCAATTATCTCTTATATTCATTTATTCTCTATTGGAAATCATTGTATTTAAATATAAAATTAACTACATCTAAATTTGTTATGCATTTTTTATCTATACTAATCCAATTAGAAATGTTGGTTGATGTAATTTAGATGATTGAATACTAAGTTTAAATCCTAATTTTTCTACTAAGTTAATGCTTGTAACTAAATATAACTTTCATACATTACTCATAAACACTGTCTAAATGTAACAAATAAATAGTTAGGTATTTAATTCTGAAAAAGTGAACTCTGTCATGTATCATTCTAACTAACTATTGATGTATGAGTCTATTAAGTGGATATAAACCTGTATTATTCTTTTATTCCTAACTTTTCCACAGCACATAGTTGGATATATCTCATAACACTACATTATGTTCAACTTCATTTTAAAAAAATCACAATTTTGTTTAACCGAAATATCCCTAACAATTATCTGTAGAACTTATTCAGTGAATTTTGCATAATAAAGTAGGCATTGATTGTTTTTGACAATTATTTTCGTGATCTCAACATGTTACTAGCCATCTGCCTAATGTGTTAGTTACTATTGCCATTTGTAACACCATATTTGATGGACAACTTAATAAATGACTATCAATTAAGTTGTCATTCGATTGCATAATTAAAATGTCTGTTTCGTCATTACCGTGTTTCTGTTTGTCAACATGATTTAGGCACAGTCTATTTTGGCAAAGTTAATTTATTATTCATTTGACATGTAAATAGTCACACAGACACGTAATCATATGGTCTCTTTAGGTTGTAATTGTTACTAAACGAATGCCAATATATAACTAATCTTTTGTAAAAGAAAAGCCTAAATATGTAATTTAGTAAACTGTTTTTATTGTCTACTTCTTAATAGTATTTTATAGACATGTCCATCTTAGATACTAAAATATTTATGATAAATAGATTAGATAGTTAAATTTTTATTTGTTTATGTTGATCTGGTAAATGGACAATTTTTTTTGTTTTGTTAAATAACTTTGATTGAATATGTTATTGTATAATTAATGAATCGAATAATCAATGAATCATATCATAATAGAGATTAATCAGATCTGTAAATGATCAAATGGTATTTAATGAATTCATTATGGACATTATAAAAATTATGGATCTGTTTTATGTAAACAACAGATGTATGTTGGATATAATTGAAAGGAATAACTAAGATCATTTCAATGGCGGTAACCAATTCTACCCAATGTTTATTGTTAGTTAGTTTGTAAAACATTTTACTGAACCATATGATACTAGAAATTCAATATGTTCTTCTGAAGAAGGATTATCAATATCATAGAAGTAGGGTTCTAATAACATAAGGTTTTTGTTCACATATTTATTTTATATGATACAGTGACGATGGTAACAAATGTTAAGTCATTTTAAAAAAGAAGATAATTGACGAATAGCATTTTATTGTTAATCATCTGAGACGGCTGTTTTGTCTTAGTGTTGACTCATGAATTCAAGTGTGAAACTACTACAATCTCCAAAAATTTTCATACGGATAATATCGTGTGCTCACCAATGAATAGCTTCAAGATGAACTTCTTGGAGTTCTAGTGAGTTGTGACCAATGGTGTAAGACAATGGATGAATGGCTGTGTGAAATCATGGATAGATTGAAGTTAGATGTCGGCCCAGTGGTTTAGAGCTTAAGCGTTTGCTTGCGAGATCGACAGTCATGGGTACAAGTCTCACGTATGGGATCGTAGATGCTTACTGATGAGGAGTTTCATACTAGGACGAAACAGTTGTCTACTGCTTCCAGGCTTTCGATGGTGGTCTAGATTAGATTGACTTGTGAATTTAACTGTTAAAATACTACAATCTCCTCAAATCCCCATACTGATAATAAATATTGATCCCGCTCACGGGATCGTGGATGCGCACTGCTGAGGAGTCCCATACTAGGATAATATTAGTTTTATTTGAATCCTTATGTATGTATATGTATATGTCTGTCTATATGTGTGCATGTGTGTATGAACTCGTATTTGTTTGTCTCTCAGCTTATTTTCCTATTTATATATAATATGCTTAATTATTCGAATAAATTAAAGTACCATAACGAAACTGTAACAGAATTATCCTTCAATACTAAATTTGTCATTGAAAATTTATCCAACCAGTTATCTTCCATCTATTTGTTAAATATTAAACATTATTCTTACAGTATCAATAAGTTTTACTGTGTTATCTTTATTTATTAATCCTTTTGAGAAGTATTAGATGATCTTTGTCTCAGATATGACTATATATATATATTCGTATTAAGGTTTTCTTTCTTGTTATACACGTGTGTATGTATAGACTATTTCATGATACCTAACAAGTTTATAAAGTTAACATTTGGTTTTATACTAATTATATACCCCAATTAATTTTTGTTCATTAATCCGTGTATATTTTACTTTTTGGTATATAAATAATTGAATGTCATAACAACAATATCAACAAGATATTTCTTTGAATTTAGTTACCAAGTTAGAGATTGGGAATTGTTTCAATGATTATGAATTATACTTTGATTTATTAGTTAATATAAATTAACTTAATTGTGTCTATTTTATTGCATAATCGATCTTAACTTTCATTGTTTCTTTTTAAATTGGACATCAGACAGTCATGCATTGTGTTGTAATCTTAAATATTGTGTTACTATGACACCAAGTCCATGTTCACAAGGCAAGAAATCGAATGAATCATTGAGAAAATCGGATACATCTACCATGAGTACAAAATCAAATAATCCCATAGTGAGTAGATTGTGTTGTTATTTTATTTTTAAAGTTGAGTAGTTTGTTAACATTTCCTCAAACAATTACGTAACATTAAAAGTCAATGCGATTAACATAGTCTCAACAACGATTAAGATCAATGTGAGATATTTGATTGTTCTCCGTACAGAGTAAGAAATCACGTGCTGATTCCCCAGTTTGTGGTAACTCAAAGGATTGTGTCACTCCATTAGTTCAAAATGTAAGTCAAGTTGAAAATGTTAATTTAATTTATGTATTACATTAGTTATTCACTATATACATGATGGACTTGATTTTATATCTAATACAATATGGATAGATACATGTGAATGTACATAATTCAAGAAAAAAGTCGCATTATCTATGTAGACAAGGTGGGTCATCATTCCATAGATGTTTATAGATCTAGATCAATGTATTAAATATTTACGTTCGCTTGGCGTAGTACAGCACGCGTTATTTCCATCGATTGATGCTACATACTACTCATAATTTTCAGCATAAGTAGCATTCGCCAAACTACCACAAGTTCGATCTCTTTCCGATATCTTAAGAATTTCCACTGAATGATGATAATTTAGAATTGATTGACCCAACAAAGTATCGTTCTAAGTTATGCATTAGTTATTGTATGAAATGATTAAAATGAATTTAAAAGTTATATTATGAATGATAATGATTTAATAAAATCTTTAAATTTTTTAGATCAACACTTGTATTATTTATGTTTTCAATTTTCTTCTTTTTCTTTTTTTTTTCTAGACTTTACACGGTCCAACACTTGATTTCCGAATACGTCGTACACCTACCTACACATACTGTTTTACGTAATCAAAATGTAAATATGATTCGTTCTCCTTTATCAACAATTTATAGTCATTCAAATGGAAAATCATCTAAATCAAATGATACAACTGTAATAATAACAACAATCTTAACGGCAAACAAAAAGAAAAAAGAAAGAAAGAAAGAGAGAAGCACAACATTGATTCATCATATTCATACATCTTTTCAATTGTATTGTACATATCATCAATTTTATGTTTGATATCAATCATTTTAATATTGTGTCATTATTGTATTATATTCTCATGGCAAAAGTGTATACAGATCAATATTGTGTTAACAAATTGTTTCTTTCTTTCTTTCTATTCATAATTTCAGTGAATTTCTTTTATTTCTATTTTGTTTATTTTCTTTTCTATGTTTTATACAACAATTTCGAATGATGATTGTATTTCCCTTATTCCAACCTTCATTTAATTTTGTTTACCGGCAACGAACTCATCCACGTTAACGGTTAAATGTGACGTAGGATAAAGAAGACAATACTTAGTGTTGTAAAAATAAACTAATATTACAATGATTTTTTTTAAAAAAGAATCAATAAAGAGTTTTGTAATTGTAATGTGTAGTATTATTAGTAGTATTATGAACTACTATTTTCCATTGTTTGCTTACACACATTTAATCATTGTCTATTACTCTCTGTTATATATCTGAATATTAATAAAATTTGTAAATATTTTCTTATCAGAAAAAGGGTTATAAAGATCGTTGAGATAATAAACCGATCCTTGTTAGGCTACCATGGAAAACCTGAAAGCACTGGATGATTGGTTCATCTTAGTATGGAACATTAATACTGTTAAGTCCTGATTCAGTTGTCTAAACAGTAAAAGTTCACACACGACATCAAAAGACCTTATTTCGAGTAGTCCCATACTAGGACGAAATAGCTGTCTAGTGGTTTCAGGTTTAAAATGGTAGAGACTAGTACTTTCACAGTTGAATTCACGAGTCGATCACCATAGAGCTTTAGCGTTCGCTCACTAGACAAAAAGTCTTGGGTTCGAGTCTCACGCATGGGATCATGGATGCTAAGGAGTACCATACTAGAGCAAAACGTCCGTTCAGTTTTTTTTGGATTTTCACCGTTGGTCTACCTTAGATCAACTCGTGAGTTCAACTAACAAAATTTATAAGAGTTAATAGTACATTCGATGATCATATAAATACTCAATTATTTTCACGCTGCTATATGAAATTATGTGGGTTTTTTTTCTTCATAAAAACGAAATATATCTCACTTTTTACTCGATGGTTTTATAGAGATTCGATATTTGCATTGCATGGTTAACATCATGGAATGATTTTAATTTCAGTATTAAAAGTGTAAGGGATTAGTAATTCGGTATTTTTTTTGTAATCAGTCATATGTGGTATCACAATTGGAATAATCTGTTGAAAATAACAGTAATCTAAGTAACTAAAATAAACATACTTAGAATATCTTAACTGAGTTGTATTTATAATCACAGTAAAAAAAATTATGTTGTAGCTTTTTATAACTAACTAGCTAGTTTCACTGATCCAGTTATATTGACCTAATGATAATCCACATACGGATAAATAGACTATTCTATATTTATATGGTGGTAAAGTACAATGATTTAATCTTGTTGAATTCATGAGTCGATTGAGGCTACACCACCATTGAAAACCTGGAAGCACTGGACGGCCGTTTCGTCCTAGTGTGGGACTCCTCAGCTCACTGAAGACAATGGTATATGGTGGCGCAACTTCGTGGATTGGTTGAAATTAGACATTAACACCATTGGATGTCGGCTCAGCGGTCTAATGGTCAAGTGCTCTCGCGCGAAGCCAGTAAGTTCTGGGTTCGAATACCGCGTGGTGCGGGATCGTGGATGAGCACCGCTGAGGAGTCCCACACTATGACGAAACGGCCGTCCAGTGCTTTCAGGTTTTCAATGGTGGTTTAGCTTCAACTGACTCATGATTTCAATCTGTGAAAGTTTCTAAAATCTCCACAAACCCCTTCTGATAATTAAAGTGTTTTGTATAAATTGTCTAGTTCGAATTTGTTTAACATTACAAATTAACATAATCTAGAAAACCAATGAAAATGACGGAGAATCGGATAACTGTTTCCGTCTATTTGAGAATTCTTCAAGAATGTGATAGTGATCAGACTCAAGAACATTAGCCTCCTATGAGAGGGAAATAATAGAGATTCTTATCTTGATACGTGGAAGTTAAAACTGTGGACCGTTGGATTCAAAGTTGGTAATCGGAGAATATTGCGCCGGCCGTTAGAAATGAAAATTCTGTGTTCTATACTTGTAGGAATTTTACTTGGTCACTGTTAAGGAATTTCAAACTGAAACGAGACGACCGTTCTCCTTAGTTTTCAGCACTGCGAAATTTTTCATAGAATGTTATTAAAAGTTGTGAAAATATTTGATTAGATGAAAGTATAACAAAACAGATCGATCAGTTAGAGTCCCATATATTGGCAACAGGAAAGTATACACTCCAACTAATTGTCCATCTTGTACCAAAAGTTTTCTTCAAATTTTCTCATCATTCAATAGTGTTTTGGTTATTATACAAATATTCAATAAGATATACTATTTTTGACAAAAGCATCATAAATGAACGATATATACTACTTGACGATATAGGTAATTAAATATAGTTCACAAAGATTGGTATGTTTTTGAATTTAGACTCGGATGTATATTTTACTTTGTAGCGAGCTGAATTCAAGATTAGTATACGTTAAAGGATTAAATGCTGGTGCCGAATTACCCAAAACTTTACAGTTTGATGCAATAAGTCAAAAGGATTGATAAACGTACGGTAGCGTGCTATGTGTTAAGTTGATAAGTCGATCTGAACTTTGTACTGAACAACACAAATTAATTAATGGAAAAAGAAAATTTTAGATTATGCAAAAAATTACAAGGAAGATTATAATGTATTTCATTATCATGTTTTACTACCGGTCAGATGTTATCAAACTGAAATTGGTTTACTGTTCATAGAATATGAATAAGTGATAATGCCATTATGAACGAAACAGTATTGAATACCATATTTGTACCGAAATATTAAGAGTAGGATACAAAACTTTAACACTGTCAATTTGATTAACGAATTTCTGTCATTTCAGAAGAATCATTTTAAGGAAAGAATCTAATTCATTGTACTGTGAGAGATGGAGTCTGAAATGAATAATTCTACTACTCTTTCTAAATGATATTACATCACAAGACGTAGGTAAATGACATAACGTATCTGGTGTTCGCTGAAATTAAGTCTAATTTCAGGGTGGAATACATATCTAGTGCCCCCCTAGTTTCCAATGATTATCTATATTAGATCAGATCATGGTAGCAAAAATTTGACTGAAACTAAAAAGAAAATCTCAGATAATTGTTTATATAATATAATGATGCTTAGCGAAATTATAGCAACATACTTACTCTAATGTTATATGTTTTGTTGAGTAGAAATATAGTTTACTCAACATTTTTCCACATTATTTTACACGACAAACTAATTCGTAGATATTAGAATAACATATAGTCGGTCTATTTCATCAAATGTCACTTACGGTCTATAGTATTTCACGACGAGAAATTACAAATGTAGTATAAAATACTTAGGGAAATGAAACTAGTCATAAGTTAGATAAATACATAACGGTGTGCTGTGATAAAGGTTGATTGTGTTACAAAACATTTTGTTGTTCATCCATTTTAACTTTTAATCGACTTTATTTTTCTAAGTGTCTTACACTTCAATCCTGATAATCAGAATTGAAAAGCTTGGATTCAATGTCTAACTAAATCTGCATTAAACAATTCACTGTATGTTCTCAGTTGAAATCACGAATCAATCTAAGCTAGATCACCATTGAAAACCTGAAAGTACTAGATGGTATTCCTCAGCAGTATGCACCCACAATTCCGCGCTCATGACTCGAACACAGGACCTTTGGTCTCTCATTATATGTCCTTAGTTTTCTTGATAAATCATCAATGAATTTAGATAGTCAATTGAGATGAACTGCAAAATTTTTATAATTTCAAATAATTTATTATGATAACATAATAATAAAATATCATGAATTGATCAACTCCATAAAATAGGTAGTTGAAATATCAGTCTCATTCCTCCATGTTGTTAGT